TTTAGTCCCTAAACTGTATATTTGTCATTTTGGTTCCTGAATTTTGATTAGTTGATCCAAATATAAACTTCCGTCAATGAATTCAACCGGAGTATTGTGTACATGCACACATGCCTACATAATCGAGAATAAATTCTTCATTCCAATTCAAACCCACCCTTATTCTTTTTTTACTTTTCGAGAAAGAAACTGAAGCTGAAATAAAATCAAGAGGTTAGAGGAAAGAAACTCAAATCAATATCCTTGTATTGATGCTCCAAGGAAATTAAAACTCGTTATCTTGGTGTTACCTTTTAGTCATTCTAGAGCCATCTTTCCGTTTGTTCAGCGTCCCTACTGTTTTTCTTTGAAAATTGTTTGAGTTTAGAGCAAGGGACTGCTATTTGGTAGATGGATTGGGTGTTAAAAAGCAGCAAATAGGTATGACATCTGTCATTTACCAGGTATCTATGCTGTGTTTCGGTGACTTGTGATTTTGATTGTCCTACACTCTGGATTGGTTGGTCCAATGTCACAATAGATATAATAGCGCATTGAAGACTTAATTTGTTCCTTTTTGGCTTCTTGTTTTATATATATATATATATATATATATATATAAGTACATGACTTTTTGGCTAGCGACATGGTGGATTTAAGGCTGATACTGTAGATATATATATATTAGTTCGTGTAAGTACATGACTTTTTGGCTGGCGACATGGTGGATTTAAGGCGGATACTGTAGATACATGTTTTGGTTAATAATTTGGAAAGCCACATGGCATTATAGGTTGCCTTGTAGTTTAGTTTTGCAGCCTTGTATGAGGCATTGATCTGTTTCATGTTTTATTGATATTGTGATACAGAGAACACGAGCAACGAAGACTGAAGTCCTAGTGAGTATATTGGGGGATGATTTAGGACGAGCAGCAGAGCTATCAACGGAGTTGTGGGACGTAAAAGTGAAAGCAGAATACTCGGTGAATAAAAGAGTGACGAAACACTTTGATCGAGCAAAGGAATCTAGGATCCCTTGGATGATAATTGAGGGTGAACGGGAGCGGAATGATAATGTTGTGAGATTGAAAAACATGGAGGCTGGCGAGGAAATCACAATTTCTAGAGATACAATTGTGGAAGAAGTTCAAAAACGGTTGAGTTCGTCATAATTTAATCAGTTAAGGCAGCAAAGATATGAAACCAGATTACCCTAACTTTTGAAACTTAATATGTTTTTGGTGACACCGGTTTGTGGGTATGCTTTACAAAGTGTATCTGTTAAGATGCTTGGATTGTAATGTAAGTTGGTGATTTGAGCTTAATAAATAAAATGTGGGGTTAAGACTTTGTGTTATATTAGAAAACAAGTAGGGAAAGTAATGTTGAAATTGCTTTATTCTTCCTCGATCACTTGAGATTTTGTTGTGGAGAGTGATGCAGTCGCGGTCGCAGTCGCAGATGGTGGCCTTTGTTGGTCCAGAGTCCCCGGCATATCACTTTACGATTGGCACTGGCAGGCAGTGTAAGGGTGGGACTGAGGAGATGTCATGACGCTTCAACTTACACCCCAAAGGAAATGGGCGAAAAGAAGCTACCGTCAAAAGAAAAACAAGAAGATTGCCATTCCCTTTTGATTTATATGCTAATCCTATTTATCGACAAGAAAAGATTATCACCAATTTTCTTGTCTTTGTTTCGACTCCATCTATATTCGCTGTAAAAAAAGACTATTAGACTTATTTGCTACGTCAATTATGACATTTCTTTTGGAAAAAAACATAGTCCTTTACTCCAAGTTGACGTACTTGACATTTCATTTGGAAATGCTCTTAATGATTTATATGGCCTTGTGATACACCGTTGGGTCAATCATTTGGTCATTTTAACTAACAATATAGTTTAACTTACTAGTACCTAAATAAAAATTCAAACGAAAAGCTCTCAAGTAAATATGAAAAAAGAAGGGGGCTAGAGCCATAGTAGAAATTAAGCACTCTTTGTAGCTCTCTTCACCCGATTTCGAGGCTACCGGCCCCCTTTCCCTTCATAATCCCACTTTTAACTATTGACAATATATATAGAAAAACTCTTCAAATGCGAGAAAGGGACTCTACCGTCCCTCAATCACACGCCATAGGTTTGTTGACGATTATAATTTGAAAACATAAACTAAAAATTGTATAAGTCGAGCAGACTGAGTGTGTGTAAGATAATTAGTATATTCTTTCTTTATAGAAAACCTAGCAAGCTCATTTTGTAAATAAATCGATCAACATTGAATTCAATTTTTAAACATTGTCGGGAGGAGGCTCCGGTTTCAAATTGGGTTTAAAGAAGATGACCTTAAAATTGGTGGTATTCTATTTCAACAACGTGGAGAAAAAGTACATCACATGTGAGTGAAGTTGGTTCAACGTGGAGAAAAAGTACATCGCATGTGAGTGAAGTTGGGATCCATATCCGGTTTATTTCGATAGCAACTTGTATATTGTCAAGGTCACATGAATGAAGTTGTTGGTTTAGCATCCTTTTCTTTCCGACAGTAATTTAAAAATACGAATACACTGTTAAGGTAGTGTTTTATAATAAGGATGTAAAAACACGTGAAAAAGAACTAACTCATATCTTATATAATTAACTCTAAGTATCAATATTATAGTACAAATGTGCTATACAAAATTCCCTAGCTGCTTCCCATTTTCTCTCTCGTACGAAACCACCCCACCGCCCCAACAAAAATAAAAAAATCCCCTGCTCTCGCTGCCGACTCCTTCTTCGACCTCCCCTCTACCCATTCCACCCCAAATTTGGTGAAATTTAGTCTTGAAGTGGTGAAATCCGCACGGTGGGTGCGACGGAGATCGTGGTGGCAATTCCTCCAAATCCTGAAGCTAAACCCTTCAATAATCACCACCCTTCGACGCCCCTTGAGGCCTAGAACAAAGCCCATGCATTGGTTGAGGCGTCGTAGCTATTTTAGAGTCCAATCAAGAACACCCAAATTCAAGGGTTTCCAGCAGTTCGTGGTAGTTTTCAGGTGTTTCCCGACCATTGAACTCTAATTGCCTGTAAAATTTGATAATTTTTGGAGTTCGTTGAAAAACTGTGTTTTCGTTCATCGAAAACTGCCACCCAGGGTGGCGAGTGGCCAATGGGTCGACGTTGCCTTTTCATGCAAATTTTGATATTCTAAATATGTAGTTGGTATCCAATTGATGTGTTTCAATTATTAAAACTAATGTTGTTTATTTATGTTATTTGAATGATTTAGAAAATGGATTAACATTGATTTGTGAACTACGAATGGCTTGATCCCTTCTTAGGGTACGTTGGCAGTCTAACAAGACGGTTAGATGCAGCCATAAAATAACCCAAATTTATTATTGTACTTGATTTCTTTAAGGAAAGAAATTTATTATGGTTCATAGGGTAGAGATTAACCATGATTTTGTTTTAGTCTATCACCGGATTTAGCTTCAAAATAAGAATTTTGGGTCGTTACACTTGCTACCTCCCCAACCACCCCCAACTTACTTCTCTGCCCCACTCCCTTCCCTCCCCTATTTCTAGTCCCCTCCTCTCAATTTTCCTGTTTCTTTTCTCTTCCTTGTTCCCACTAACCTTCTTAATTTCTAGTTTCTTTGAACTTGTCTTAGATCTAGACTTTTACGTGCCTTTCTTCACCCATTGCTTTTCTCCGTCATCAATTCTCCACGCCAATCTTTGCTATTCGGCCCATTGCATGTCTGTTCTAGGTGGCGCACTTTGGTGTTGGGTGGTTGTTAAAGTGCTTTTAGTATTGTTTGGCAAGATTGTGGGACCGGTTTTTGTGCTGGTGGCTCGTTCATCCCCATTTTCCATTCATCCAGCTTGTTCGTGGATTCTTCCTTTTAGTGATGGTGATGGATCAGTAATGGAGACGTTTCTAAATCTAAGGATTTTGTTATTGTGGTCTTGCTTCTCTAGCATTTATGTTGTATTTTCTTATAGGCTATACTTGTATTTGAATTGCCTTTATGCTTTCTATGTCATGTAATAATTTTTTTAATTAATAAAAGTTTCAAAGTTTGAACAAAAAAAAAAAAAAAAAAAAAAAACCCGATCCCCTACCCAAATCTCATCCGGTCACCACCTCTAACAAGTCGGCGTATGCATTTACTATTCTACTTTCTCACAAAAAATAAAGTAGAGAGTCTTTATTTATTTATTATGTGATGCGACATTGCAAATGACTGACTAATACAGTCCTCAACCTCCCCTCAACTTTGAGTACGATTATCTTGTTTTCATTTTTTTCCTTTTTTTTTTTTTTCATTTTATCTAAATGATTATGGTTGAATTATGTTAATATTTTATATTAATTTTTTATAACAAAAAATAAATAAAATAAGAAAATGTGAGGAAAGGAGATGGAAAATATCATCTCAACCGGAGGAAAAGTACATCTCAAAACTATCCTTGTACTGGTGTCGCGTATTCTCTCCTTGGGCGGCAGTATTCCCACCACTCCTCATCCCACTCTACCCCATTACGCGGCACGATCCTATTAGTCAAAGCTTCCAAAAAACTATTTGAAATTTACAAACTTGACCTCTTCCTTGTATCCTCTGTGTTATCCCCCCATTCTTCAGCACCACAGGGCACAGGTGGCCCAGCTTCAACGAAGGGTACCGTCTTTAGCCCTCATCACTCTGCTCAAAATATCCAAATACAGAGGAGGTGGGTTTGGAATTAGGGATTTGGGAATTAGGGATTTTGGGGAATTGGGAGAGTAAAAAGGGTACCTGTGTCTGTGTGTGGTTTACCAATAAAAGCGGTCTTTCTCCGTGCTTGAATTTTGTTGCCAATCCAACACGCAGGTGCACGGTCCTACACGCCAAAAAGGAAAAGAAATCTCATTTTTCTTTGCTCACGGTTAGGGTTAGCTTCCCTACTCTAGGCTCTGTTCATTTCCTACTATTTCTATTGAGCTTTTATCATTTTCTCCGATTCCGAATACCCGCCAATCAATTCCCGCCATGGAAGGAGGAGGAGAAGTTGGTGAGTTGCAGGACTGGGAGGTGCTCCACGGCTTCGACCCTGCCCTGGTTAACTCGGACGACTCCGTTCAAACTCCCAGGAGCTTCGAGGGAATCGATGTTCACGCCGAGGGTATGATCAGGCCTGATTACTTCTCTCTCGATAATCATGACAAGTCTGGGTATGGAAAGGGGGTGGTTGATGTCGCCGAAGAGGGTTCAGTTGAGTCGGACAACCCCAGTTGGATTGACCCGGATTCGGTGACTCGCTATGGCGGAAAAGAATCGGGTGGGTTTTGGTCCGATTCGGCAAGTGATCGGTCCGATGACCGTAAAAGTAATGATTTTGAGGGGAAAAACGAATTGGGTTTTGTGGAAAATGAGAAAAGCCATGTTGGTTTTGAGGGTTTTGGAGAAATGTTAGCTGTGGACGAGAATTTTGGGAAATTTGGGTTGGATGCTCAGGGCCGAGTGAGCTTTGAAGAAATTGGGGAAAACGGAAGCCTTGATAAGGATTTGGGTAAGTTCTGGTCTGATTCAGGCGGCGACAGTCTGGTTTCAGTGAAATTTGAGAAGGTTGCGAAGGAAAGCGAGATAGGTTTTAGTGGTTTGGAAAGTGGAAATAACTTGGACAATGAACCAGAAGAAGGACAGTCAGTTGAGAGTCAAAGTGCTGCAGTTGAAGAAGAGAAATCGGAGGTGAAATCCGGTGAAGAGGTAGTGAAGAGGACAATCCTGTGGTGGAAGGTCCCATTTGAGGTTTTAAAGTATTGTGTTTTCAGGGTAAGCCCTGTTTGGTCCTTGTCCGTCGCTGCAGCTGTAATGGGTTTGGTGTTCTTGGGGCGGAGATTGCGCAAGATGAAGCGGAAGAGCCAGAGCCTGCAGCTCAAGGTTACTCTGGATGATAAGGTCAGTTATTGCACTTTATTATTGGATAGTGATCATTTTTTTCACTTCATGTTATTGCAATATATTAAGTATGCCTGCATTGAGATCACTATGTGGTCTGTACGTTATGGCTGTCAATTAAAAGCTTAATCTATAATTTTGCGTAATAAATTTTTTTGCGTCTGTTCATGCAGTAGTGTTTGTAATTTATTTGGAAAGTTAAAAAGTTGAAATCCGAAGCTTTTTGCAACTCATGTGATCAGTTGAGTCAAAAGACATTTGAGCTCGTTTCTCAGTATGTTTGCATTAGTTTACTTTTTGAAACCACTATATCAAACTCTTCATATTCGCAGGACTTCGTAATAAATTATTAAAAACCAGGATTCCAGTAAAAGGAACCTGCCCAAGTGCAATAGGATTCATACTGATATGTCTTTGCTTTTGTTTGCCAATTTATTGGGACTTTGATCGTTTGGCGATTTGTGCAAAGCAAAATTTTAATGCTGCCATTTCACATCTTTCTTTTGTACTTTTCAATCTTGATTACTTTTCTTAAAGATATCATTTGGGAGTACTTTTCTCTGACTGTTTTGCTTGTTCTCGACATTTTCTGGTGCAAAGGATTTTAAAATCCTGTTTAATCACCTTCATCCATTATTTTTATTGTATTCTCCATGATAGATTATGATATTATGTTTGCTTACTGGTATCACTTTTTTTCTCTCTCGTTTCATTGGTTTGGAAACAAAGGATATTTGATTAAGATAAAAATTAATTACCAAAGTTTACGTGGAGGTGAACAAGTAGTCAACGTTGTACAAACAAACATTTAGATAGCAAACAGTTTTGGAAGCTGTGAACACTAACACAAAGGTGGTTCCCCAATCTCTCTGTCCTGCAAAAACTAATTCTCTTATCCTTTCCCCATAACAAAACAAAACATAGATCCAAGGAAAAGAAACTAATACCCTGCAAGTTGACTATCCAAGGATCTATGCTGATGCCACAACCCACTGATTTTGATTCCACCAATTGGCTTTAGCCTCTATCCACTATTTGTTTTTTTCTCTCAGCGCATCTTAATGCTCATGTACCTGCAATTTTTTTTTTCATTTGCCGCGGCATCTTCACTTATGAATTTTAGGGATTGGTGTGGTTCTATAAGTGAAGGGAAGAAACCTGTATAAATGTTTGAAATTTTATTTAAGCCAAGTCTATATTTTAATGGCTGCAGTGAATCTAATATTAAAAAAAAAAAAAAAAAAAAAATTATACACAGAGAGAAGTAATCTCTTTAGAAGAACATGTGAAAGCTTGCTTAATGTAGGCCAGTAAGAAAGTTCTGCGTGAAAACATAAAACTAGAAACAAAATAGACTCTTAATGAAGTCTGTTAACTTATTCTATACTTTAAAATTAGCAAAAAGGTAAAAGAGCTCTTTTATGAAACTTTTACCTGGAGTTCCTGGATGCCATAATCCATACTAGGTAAAAAAAATACAGCACGATCAGTGATCACTGATCAAAGGAACGGTAGTCATGCTAGTGAATGTTTAACAAGAAATGAAATCCTTATATTTTGCATGATTGCATTATCTTTAAAGTGCCTTTGCCAAGTGAGCTATAGGTGATTTTCCTGTTTTGGCAATTTTTATTTGGGATTAAAAGTTGCAGAAACCCTCAAGTGAAGCCAGTGAAAATCAACCTCATCGTGCATCTTAGGAAATGGTTAAAAAGAACAAGTTTTGTTGGATTTACTTATTCTTCAGATCCTTGTCTCGGCCGTGAGATCTAGCTCAAGCGGTATTAGGTTAGGGGTGGGAAAATGGTAGAACCTTATTCATGTTGTTGTAAGAAAAAAATGATTGTTTTGTGGTGGGATTTCATTTTGTTATATGAGTTACGCACTTGGTTTTACAAATGTGATCTTTTGCTCTACTGTTTTGAGATACACGTTGAAGTGGCCAACCAAGGATATATAACTGAACGATTTTTGCAGAAGGTGTCTCAGTTCACGAGTCGTGCTGCACGTCTCAATGAAGCATTTTCAGTGGTGAGGCGGGTGCCTACAGTGCGACCTTCGCTGCCAGCAGCTGGAGTGAATCCATGGCCTGTAATGGGTTTGAGATAAAATGATTCTTGTTGTGAAGTATATAGAAAAAGAAAGTACTTTGCCCATGACCGTGCTAAAAGTACTACGTTGTTGTGCCTTGGTTTGTATCAAAAACAATTGTGGCTGTTATGTATTAACTCTGAAATTAAGAATCATCTGTAAAATGCAGACAAAGATTACCATTTGGTATTAACTTTACTTTTCCCTGTTGTGTGGCATGCTTTTTCGCCTTATTGGAATTCTCTCGGTGTGCTTTTTATGCCCACCATTGGAATTTCGAAAATGAGGAATGTCAATGTGTTCTTAATATACCAATCCCTCCCTCTCAAGTCTTAATGCAAGTTAATACGGCATCAATCACTTATTTGAGCCGGCTCTACAGATGAATCTTATGAACCTTTTTGTTTACCGAAAATCGCTTCGTTCATGGACAAACCGAAACTGAAAGGAGGAAAGAGTTGCATTCCTAAATTTTACTATCGGTTTTTACATTGTGGAACAGGCAAGAGGGTTTTCATCACTAAATGTTTGACAAGGGTAAATGTGCTGAGTTGAATACTGAGGTGGATATTGGAATACGCATTCTCCTCCTCCTTCTGGGCGCTGCTTGTTATTATTAACCTTGTCCTCTTGCCCTGTTATCTGCCTTGTCCTTTCCTTGCCCTTTCTCCTCACCTTGTTCTTGCTTCACTATCTCAGCATGCTTCCCGAATTCCTTCTTTATGTATTCCACCAGCTTTGCTGCTTCAACTATTCCCCTCACTCTTACCCTTGAGCTCTCCATATTCGCTTCTACACTTAGAACACCTACAATATGCCAAAGAAAAACGAGCCGGTTAATTTCACCAATGATCCCTAAACTCGTCCGTCGTCCCTGTGTTTTATTCTCATTCATTACTAAAATCTTGTTTTCTATAGACGACAAGAGAAATGGTATTTCTTGTTCCGAATTAAGAACAACAGAAAAATGAACTATTTAGGTTAAACGAACAAACGATTTCCGATTTTGATGATACATAACATGAAGCAGCAGTTGCGCATCCTTTCCAATAGGGATTTACCTTTTATTTTCTCCAGGTATTTCTTAATGTCAATTGCACAGCCTTCGCAATGCATTAACGTTTTGAGAACCACAACTTTCACCTGAGGCGGAGCCTACATTTCCAGTCCCAAAAACAAGACAACGGTAATACTAATATATATCGGTATAAAAAATGAATGCTTCTCCCCGTAATTTAGACCAGATGGATTAGAATATCGTTTAAATAAAAAACGTACCGCTTCTTTCTTTTCGGGCTCCTTTTTCTGTTTGTTTTCTGGTTTTGGTATTGGAGATATGAGTTCAGCGTTTCTACTAAACTTGTTTTGTACTCTCTCCAAAACCCTTAGAGGGTCGGCTTTCTGCCCCTTCACAGTCACTTTATGATTTGGGTAATCAACCACAACCTCTTCAACACCTAATCAATCAAAAGAAAATCTCCAAAAGTTATGCATGCAAGTGCACTATACTATTGAAATACAACAACAACAACAAAGTTTTATCCTACTAAGTGGGTCGGCCATATGAATCTTAGAACGTCACTGCGCTCTGTTTTGCCTCATGTCTTCCGTTAGCTCAGTATATTATAATTTAGATGCACAGTAAAAAGAACAGAGATATTTGTATAAGAATTTTTACCTTCAAAACTTGTCAAACACTTGGAAACCTTACTTTGGCATCCTTCACAATGCATTAATACTTTCAACACAATTTCTTTACCGGAATTGTTATTTCTCTCTGTCATGTTGAAGATGGGTTGCCAGGAATCCCCTTTTTGACACAAACGATGCTGGGAAAGGGAGGAATCGAATTCAAGACTTTTGAGTGCTAAGGAAGAATGATCTTAAACAGTTCAGGTACAAGCCGCTTGAGGATTACCAAACATGGATGATTTATGGTTGGAAACTTTGTTCTTGAAGTTAATATGTAATTCCGTTAAGAATAGGACATTGAGTGTCCATAAACTAATGATAAATTGTGGTTTAAGAAGTCTTTTAACTCTTTTATAGGTTACATTATTTCATTTATGGATATTTACTCTTACCAAGTGGAAGATAATAGTTCCTATTTATGTGGTTAATAATCTTTCGCATGCCTTTTTATGTGGTTAATTGTTCATGGCCCGTGTGACAGTGTAGAGTGGTACAACATTCCGATCTAGGTTTAAAACATGAACTTTGGTCATCAAATTACTAGGCACAACTGCTGCAGCCTTAGCAGATGCATCTGCACTTTCCAAAAAAAGGGGCAGATAATTTTGTTGGTACTACTGTTTTGTACACATACCACAACATCATACATTTCCCAAGAAGCTAAAATTATGTGCTTATGTTCTCCTCCTTTATTAACTACCAAATGTCGACAATAACGATTGTTGGTACTCGAGGTTTCACCTATCAAAAAAGATATCCAAGACTTGGCTTCGTAGATGTACTTGCACGCGTATGAGCTCAACGATAACTATGAACAACCTTCTATAACTATTCAAGGTTTAGAATATATGGACCTCCTTGCAGTTGTTGGTTATATGAGATGCCTTCAGCCACCACTTATCGGAGGTATTATGGCCAACTCATCCTTGTCTTTAACGACTGCAGAATCAGCTGTGTACGCCTCATTAAGAGCAAGCACCATGCATCCGCGGATCTCTGTCAAGCTTGGAAACATGGCAATGAGCTTATCTAAACAATCAAGGGCAGTACTACCAGAGGACACCTCCAGTGGCATATCACTCAAGCCAGTTAGACCACGAGCCCTGGCAAAGAGCAACACCTTTATCTTAACAGATGAACCCTCGATCCCCTGACTGGTAGAGTCCATGGTTACCGTCTTACTCTCTTCTTGTTTGAAATCCATTGCAGAACACCCTGCCTCATGAATTAGTTGTTGTGAAGCATGTTGGCTGCAACTTTAAGACACCAATAACTAATCAAAACCGATAAACGATATGGAAATCAGCGGAAAAACAAAAACTAATTTCTTTCATGCTTATCAAAAAAGGAAAAATCTACAACTCATGTTTGACATTGACTGGCAAGGATAATGCAATTAAACAATTCCAATATCAGTCATACAATTATATAGATTTGACCTCAGAAAGTCTAGCATGAATCCAATTCTCACAATTGTCTTCTCGTTAGCCAGACAACTAATCCACAGCCGTTTTTCGAGATCTGGAATAAACAAATCTTACCCCCAGGATTTGTGAGCCTATATCTTTGAAATATGTCAGATTTACAATTCTAGATAACTAAATCTTTGCCATTGCCACAACAGCAAGAACAGGCCTTTCTAATACTAGTTCTAGCGACATTAGCAAATCGTTAACAATACCATCATCACATTTCCTGAGAACTATGAGTTTGAAAATGCAGAAGGAGACAAAGTAGCAATGATCAATGTCATTAAAGCTTTCTCATGTATTTTCAACACCTTATAAGCATCAGAATCACAGCAGCGTTCTCAACAATACCATCATCACATTCAACTTCGGAAAATTAATCAGGACAGGGAATAGATCCATCAACAAACCCATTATTCCATTTCCCTCCAACAAAAGGTCCATCTGGAAATTCCAAGTGACATAATTTGAGTTATCCAATTTTACAGTAATAGTATTAAACACATTTGTTAAATAAAAAAAAAAAATATGGTATTACACACACTTGGAATTAAAGATGAAATTGGAGACTGAGTAAGGGCTAACTGATTAGCAGTAACCATTGTGCACAAGCACAACCAAATAGAAAGCAGATAGCTTCATTTTTAAGAAAGCTATAGAAACAAAGAATCAAAACCACAGAATCAAAAGCAGATAACAAGCCACACAGATCTGATAGAATCCGTGATAGAAATCAACAATCTCAGCAACGATGCAACTATAAACAGAAACCCCCAAAAACTAGGGTTTGAAAGTTTTAGTTACTTTTGGGATAACCTATGCCTAAGTGATGAACGTTTCTTGGGTATCTGTGTCCTCCGCAAGAACCCAAACATTGAGTTTTCATGTAACAGCAAGAATAGTAATAACCCTACCCTACCTGTTAGTAACCCAACAGCGAAAAACCAATTGGCACTGATAGTTGCGAAAAAATTTGTTGTGCGTATAGAGTAACACTTCCCCAAATACAAGGATTTCGATTTGGCTCACAAAAAAAATATATGCCCGATTGTAACTAGCAATGTTGAGGAAACTAGAATGGACAGCTTTGCACATGTCATGTATATGTATCAATCAAAACAAAGTTGGAACTCCTACGAAATTAACTCAATGCCAGACAACTTCTATAACACAAAATTCCAAATTATTCCACACAGGTGTGGAGGATTAGCTAATTAGAAACCTCACTTTTACTTGATATTGCATGCAACAAAATTTGGATGCAAACTCAAACCTCAAAATGGGTTTCTCGCAACTCCAGTTTTAAACTACACCGCCTCTGAAGACTGTAAGATTCCAAGAGACAATGATGACTCAAAGCACGTGTTGAAGATTACATACATACAGGTGAATCTAGATATCATTGGATTATCCCATTCCCATCCCTCAATCACTAAATTTTGATGTAAACTATAAGCCATTACAAACATTCAGAGGCATGAATATCAAGTCAAGTCCTTATTAATTAATCACGATAATTAAAAATAACCACAATAATAATTCAGACAATCACAGTATAATTTTAGTCCTACAAGCAACAAGTATGAAGTACCAATGTGAGAAAGGGAAAGCTTGGTTTTGGCAGATGAAAGAAGTACACAAGGACTTGAACTTTAACTGGTATTTTGGTTTCAAACAACACGAATAGAAAAACCCACCAACAAACAAACTTAAAAATTAATTGAAAGGAGATAGCAGCAAACAAGCATTGTGCTTTTTAAGATCAAAAAAAAAAAAAAAAAAAAGAAAAGGTTCTATGGGGATGCCCAGATGATGAATCTGTGAGAAAAGAAAGTAAAAGTAAAACCCATCTCATATTTGCTTAAAAATGATGGGAAGACGTAGAAGCTTTACCTTCACCAATCGTTCAGAAGTTTCAGAGATTGCAGAGAACAAGAAGAACAAGCTAAACAGGAAGAGAGTTTTGACCAAATAAACTAAAAACAAACAAAGAAGATGACAGTGCCTGTTTTCGACACTTCCGTGTTGGGTTTGGGTTTTTGGGCTTTTAGTTTTTATTGGTTTTTTTTTTGGTTTTGTTTTGGTTTGGGTTTATATTTTTTGACATGCTGTCTACAAGTTGTGTAGAGAAATGATATTCTCTATTTCTGATTTATTTATTTTTTAACACTCGATTCGCATATTATTTTTATAAAAATTCAATTCAATTTAACCGTCACAATAAAATTTTAATGTTTCAAAATACAGTGTTCATGAATTTATTTGAACTCATTTATGTCTCAAATATTTTCAATTGACTAATATGTTGCAAGAATCTTTGAGATATAACTTGAAAAATAGACAATTTGAATTGTTGAAGTTCGATATGGTATAAGTCCCACAACTAATCTCCATTTTTTGGAAAAAAAAAAATGAGGATCTCTTCTCTTAAAAAGGTGATTTTTCAGTGTGCTCAAAACAAGGGAAGGTATGTTATACGCTGGTGTACAAGTAGAGAAAAGTTTTTTTTCAATTACCATTTAACTTGTATAATGATATATGGCATGTGTCCATATTTCGACAACCCCCTTAAAAGTTCTGGATATTGGTAAGTGAGTTTGTAAATGGGCTATGTAACCCAATTCCCCTTTTTTCATTGACCCCAATAAGCATTAGTTAATGGCAAACTATTTAGGAGGTGTAGTCAATTTGGATTTTATGGGATTTTAATAGACTTTTTTTAAGTGACAAATTTCAAAAGATTTTAAGGATTCTCATTTCTATATGAATTTCGACAGATTTATGTGGATTTCTATTATAGATTTCTATGGATTTCTTAGGATTTATTAGTTGAATCTTATAACATAAAATGAAATAATGCTAAAGAAACATAAACGTTTTGAATCAAAGGAGATCAATTAACAATAAATTTGGGGCGTGTTTGTTTGGGCTCATAAGCTTTCATTGGACTGGACTGGACTAATTGTTAGTCCAGTCCCATGTTTGTTAGGCAGCGGGATTAAGTTAAGTAGGATTCAATCGGACTGGCTCCGACTATCTCCTTCGCTAACAGTTCTTAGCGAGCACCCTCAAATATGACAGGATTGCTAAGACTGTCTTTGAAAGAGTTCGCTCGTCCTGCTTCTCGTCTTCGTCTTGCAGGTCCTGCTCCCTCATCCTAGTCTTGCTCTCTCATCCTCGTCCTGCTCGTCCTCATCCTGCTCCTCTCCGATTTGATTTTGCAGATCTGAAATATTATTGGTTTTTTTTTTTATCTATTTTGTTGTTTTGGGTTCCAAGTCTCTGAATTTGAATTTTTATCACAAAAATTGGGTGCGATTGTGTTTTGTGATTGGGTGTGTTTTTTAATTGATTGCTACCCATTTTTTTTCAATTTTTCTGCTATTTTTCTTGACAATTTGATTATCCTTAGAGATGGGAAATCCGTCCATCTCTCACTAGACGAACGAACAGGTTTGTAATCGTTTCCCTTTTAGGTTTATGTCTTGAGAATCATGTGAAAGGGTTGTCTTTGATCTTAAAGTTGTTGTCTTTGTTTGGTTTTTGGCGGCTATGTATATTTGCAAGGTCTGGATTTGTTTCTAAGGACCTCTATCAGCATGGGATTTTCAGTGCTTCCATTAAGCTGCCTGCTGATTACACTTCTGGAGTTGTTGCGTTTTATGCTAGTTCATTCTATTTTTCTACCTGATTAAGGTTTTTAATTTGTTTCCCTCTTTGTTTGTTGTATGATTATATCTAAGGTTGTATGATTTTATTGTCAACAAAATAATATGACCTAGATTTTTACTTCTCAATTTTACAGTTTAGTAAAGTTCAATCTTTATGGTGAGCTGATTAATCTAATTTTTTTTGTTTTAAACTTGGTGGCGTGGAACACATAAATGTTATGGATTTATCAAATATCCCAAGTTAAAACTTGTGTTCTCAAACTTGGTGTTGTGAATAGTACTATTTTTATTATCTTGCTTCTTAATCCGGCACTGCACCAAACGCTTCACTAAGTCAGTCCATCTTAGTCCTTGAAGCTAGTCCAGTCTGAGATAGTTCGGTGTAACAAACGCATCCCAGTATTAGCAAGCACAATCATGAACTCAAATACATAGAATAATAAAGTAATCGTAGTAGCTAAGCAATCAGATGAAATTCCAAAATTCCAAGTTTCAAACATAGCTAGAAAACCTTATATTAATCAGAAATTCATCATTACAAGTAATATTTTCTTCTTTCTTTTTTGCGGAGCCACAAAACCTAACATTACAAGAACATCACCAGAAATTCATCATTACCACACTAGAATTATTTTTGACTCATTATCCTCCATTCACATTGTTATCATTATGGGCATCTCTCCACATGTCCAAAGCTATATTACATCTCCATTCATTAGCAATATTTTGTTGTTGTTCTTGTGTTTGAAAATCTTGGTCAAATCTCCTTTAGAAACTGACAATGGTGGAGATGAAGAAGATTCATCATCTAGTTCAATAGGAAGCTCATCCGATCTACACTCCTTGCGAAGCAAATTGTGCACTGTTGCACAAACTAATACTACCTCCGCTTGTGTTGCATATGGAAATGGAGGTGCAATCCTTAAAATTAGGAATCGCGATTTTTAAATATCAAATATCCTCTCGAGGACATTTCTTAAAGAAGTTTGACGAAGATTGAATAACTCTTTTTCATTTCTAGGCTCACGATCCGAACCACTATACTCTTGGAGATGATATCGGATTCCTTGATAAGGAGCTAAGAACTAACGTCTATTTGGAAATCCACAATCTACTATAAAAAAAAAAAAAAAGATTTACCTGATAATATATATTTTAGTATGCAACTCAATGGATTAATGAGAAATTAAATAATAATAAAAATGATAAATAATAATTTGATACCTTGTGGCACTTTAAGTCCATTCCTTCGTGTCAAAGCATCATTTAGTATTCTTGAATCATGAGATGATCCTTCCCACCCACCAAGTACATACATGAATTCCAAATCAAGATTACAAGCAGCTAATACATTTTGTGATATGCACAATAGCTTATCTCAGGGGCTCCAACTTCTTAGATGCTTCAGCCAAAGAAGCCAATTCTAACTACGACAAAGCACTCATAGTTTTCTGCAGATGGAAGCATACAAATAACAAAATCAGCACAACCCCACGATAATCTGAAATCACTACCCCAATGAGATGAACAAATTCAAACACAAAAATCCACATCCCAACGAGCAATTGTAACAACACTTTGCTCTCTTCTACAATCCAAGCTCTATAATTGCTCTTGGCCTTCACTTTTCCAATTTCTTGTTGTTTGTCTCCCATTTCTAATTACTAGCATGTTGGAAGCAGTAGCAATAACAAAAACCATTCAGGACTTAACAAAAGCCATTCAAATCATTATAATATGCAATGTGTTAATAAAGCAACAAAATACCTCAATTAACCAAACAATGACATTGGAAAACTAAACACAAATTAAGAATTAAACCCAAATATATTTCCAATAAAAAAGAACAATTCTTGAATTCTCACATACCACAGGGTATATATTAGTAAACAATAAAAACTCATTAAATTTATTCAATCCCCTTTCAATTATTTGAAGTAAAATATCCAAACTTCATGTTGACTGGTTAAAAAAGCATGTATAAAGAGAAAACCTAATATACATGCAATGTATAAGTACCAATAGAGCAGTAATCTGTGAAACAATAAAACATAAAAGAATTATACAAATTGAGAAGAAACCTTGTGGCGATAGAGGAAGATGAGATACGAAGACTGTTCCGCTTATGTGATGAACGTGAAAAGAAATCACATGGTGTAGGATTGGATTCTTGATGGCACTTTGTATTTATCCACCCACTCTCATATCCCTCAAAATCCTTCAACCATTAAAATCCTAATAAATCTTTGACATTCTCACTATACCTAGATTTGAATGCATTCTTTAAACTCTTAATTAACTACTCTGATTTGGGTATATTCTTTAAAATCCTCTTAAATTCTAATTTAACTACACCATGTTTTCATAATATTTTAAAATCCTCTTTTTAAACTCTAATCGACTATACCTGACTATTAAAATCCTATCAAATCTTAATTTGACTACGTCTCTTAAATAAAACCTTGCTCTAATAGTGGTATTTCCCATTGCTTCATTTTCAACAGTACTACCATCACACTCTCCAAATCACACATGGGATATACAGACCTCCATCTATTTACTCCCCCCAATTCCTTTCCTTCCGTCCGTGTCTCTCTCCACATTACTGCTGAGTTTCCCAGAAGACATTGAGGATTCAATTGATTCATAGCCATCTGCTTCCTCCAGCGATCTTCTTCGCAGCACAGCATATGCCTCCGTCACACTCAGGTATTTCACTGATTTGGGTTTTTATGCAAATACAAATTCAAGTACATTGATCTGTTGATTTGCGTTTATTTCTCTTTTCTGACCTAAAAGAAAACCCTAATGTTAGATTGGCCTTGGCCATATCTGAGTCCAGATTGATTTCATTCACCCACATTTCTTAACAAATTCCCCAATAAGGCATATTTCCCTTCATATTTTCTTACATTTTATAGTTCTAATCAAGTCTTTTTTGACCTGTTTATTTCCCTAATACAATTGTTAATAGGTGAGTAAGTTCCATGCCTGCAAAACCCTAATTACTTTGATTCAGTTATCTTTCAGGAACCTAATTTCATTACCTCAAGGTTGACGCCTACAAAGTTGGAATTTTCCCTGAATCCAGGAAATTCCCTGAACTTGTTAAGTTCATTGACGAAGTGTTTTTGGATTGAATCCCAAAGTTCCCGTTTCAAGGCTTGGTCTTTTGTGCACATTTTGCGTGGTGGGTTTTGTAAATCATCGCATTTTATTAAAGGTATTTGATCTGGGTATTCTAAACTTATCAACTGTTTTTCCGAGTTTGCAAAACAGTTCTGTGGTTTTGGGAAGCCCTTTGATTTGTGAACTTTGAAGGAGCTGTATATTCTTGTGTTTGGTAGTGCGAAAGTGGTCTTGATTCTTCAGAAGCTTATTACTGTTGTGGAAATTGTGATTTGGCGATTGTGTAGGTTGAGTTCGAAACATTCTTGACAAATATAGTAAAAGGGTTGGCACAGATGGGTAAGCCATTGGTTTTTTAAATCTTGGAAAAACCATTGGCACAAATTGTTGCTTTCTCTGCGTATGTGATGCTACTGCTCATGTACTGTTTGATCACAAGAAATTAACTGTTTCGGAATCCACTGGTTTTACGGAATCTATTCATTTGGAAGTGTTTTTAAAATAATTGAAACTGTTTTTGGTGAAAATAATTTTGAAGCCAAAATGCCAGTAAATTTTGGATAAGCATTTTTTTGCTTCATACAAAAAGCATATAACTGATGCTTCGCGCATAAAGTATTTAAGATTTTAAGTGCTTTTGAAGTCCAAAAACATTTTATTAAATAGTACTTTTAGTCATTTTAAAAGCAACTTCAAACAAACTCTATATTTGTAAATTCCATTAGCTGCACATCAGTTTGAGATTGCACTTCTTTAAACTTCTACAAAAACCGAGGGAAAAACAACGAGTACTTTCACTACAACACATACAGGCCCAAAAATTTTCCTCGACATTTTAGATGAAGAAACAAGTGTTGCAAACGTTAAAACAATCAACGTTTCGGTTACTTGGTAGAGGATCTTTGGACACCTGAAATTTTAAACAAAAATTGTATTCCCTAAATGTAATTCGAAGGATAAATAATTCTCAATGAGAAAAAAAATTGAAACGCTATAATCATTGCCCGATGGAAGAGAATATCCAATGAAGGGGAATCTAGATACACACTGGTACTGATATAACTTTTTACACAGAGGGACTCTATTCTATACACTCGTTTAAATATACATATAGAAAAGAAAATCAAAAGAATTGTACCTATAAAAATTAAAAAGTTGATCATTGAATATCTTGCCAACTGGAATTAGGACATCAGTTCCCATCCCATAGCGCCGGAGAATCCAAGACAATGACACAAGTGAAACAGTCGATATAGAGAAGTTAGATCCGTGATGCTTCAACAAATTCGAATCACTTAGTTTTGTCGCCATCACATTTCACTTGACTATCTGCAAGTATAACCATATCCAGGGTTGTAGGTCAATATGACTCTGTAAAACAAAGGTGATAATGTACATAAAAATAGATGCAATCAAGGTGCGAATAGTATCATCCGCAAAAGTTTACTTGACCAAAAAGATCGACAAAATATTACTATGGCTGTCTTTCGTTAGACATGTAAACATCAAAATCTTAATCTTAGTCCCTGAAAAATTAAATATAAACATTACACCCACTAAAGGAAAAAGAAAGGTTTCTTCACACCCCGTCATCAACTACTTGACATATATAAAGCAGACAGGCCCAATTCGCCTCTGTGCAAGATATCCCGCAAGATCCAGAGGACCATAGTCCATATTTTTTGTGCAAATTTAAAATGTGTGTCTATTCAAAAGCTTAAATCCGAGTTCAAATATCATTTACGTCTACCTGAGCAGCATTCATGGATACATTGTCATTCCTTGAGTGTATCATTTGACAACGAGCAAATAAATGATGCCATAAAATTTCTTATTTTGCACAATGCCACCAGAAATTAGATCCTAATTGTTAGCAACATTGATTCAGACTTCGAGAAAGAAATAGTTTATTGTTTGTTTAAGATAAAGGGAGCATATGGGGCAAAAGGTGAAGACAATGTACTGGACAGGCCACAGTATGATTACACATTCCAACCTGCAGAACAAATTTCCTAATGATAGGAACAAGAAACAGGGAAAACAAGAGGACAGAAAGAAAAAAGAAAAAAGAAGCAATTTAAGCTGCATGCAGGAAAAAGATTACAAATTTCTTTGAATTTGTTTGAAAGTTTCTTTCAAAACAAAAGATAATTATGATGAGGAAGCACTTTGATGACGTTTCTTCCATGGCAGAAACGCCACATCATGCAAAATGAAAAAAAAAAAATATCAAGGTGACCACTGGTCAGAAGAACTTACCATTTCTTAATCTCTATGGAACTGCTTTCATTGTCTCCAATCCCATTAACACGTGGTGAGCCCAAGCTAGAGCCATTTTCATGGTCACCTGGATGAAGCATGTGGGAAAATCCCTGCCCAATTGACTTCCATAATCGTGTAGGCAGATTAGACTGCAAACTGCCAGTACTCCTACCAAGATATGGTTCAGTTGGCCTTGCCACCGCAGGGTCTAGTTCAGAGAATCTTACAGCACCTAAAAGTTGTTCTGGAAGCTCTGATTCAGTTTGGCTCTCGATGAGAAATGCAAGGTCAACGGTCAGAGTTGTGATATAACCAAATGCAAGATGAACTATTGCACTTGCAACCATGGAAGACCCAATATCCACGTCTACTTCTAAGAAACTATCTGATGCACAATAATTACAAGAAAGGGCACGCCCAATTATGCATATGGCCTGCTCCCCAACTGATTTCCTCACAATCCAAGGCCCTTGACAATGTTGGCAATCAATTTAAGCCTCGAATTCCTAAACCCATCATCACCTTTCAAGAACTGGTCCATCAAAGACCCCTCCAGAATAGGCTCTCTGGTAGTAAAATACGCCACAGCACTATAATTATCCTTACTCGGAACTTGAAGATTGAAAGCCCAAACGAAAGGCTTATCACCTGTTGGAAACTCTTCCTCAATAGCCTTCTTAACACGACTACTTGGATGCTTTAAGACCTCCCCAATCTTTGTCGAACTTCTAATCCAATCGAAACCAAGAGACTTTAGAAGATATTCACCAGCAGGAACTTTAACCCTGGTTGACAAGTAGTCTGACCTCTAAACAAGAACTTGTATCCAGGTGGAGAAGCCCAACCATTTCGGCAATTGTCCGGATCAAGAAGTGGAACAGCTCCTTCTAATCTCACTCTCTCTATCCATTCAAGCTCCTTCTTTCACCACTGCTGTCCATACGAGATTTTCCTTTGAAGTAAGTCTATCACATAATAAGAGAAAACAAGATAAATACGAAAAGAGTATAGCTGTTTTCCTGAATTACAGTTCAATTTGTGTTGTGGATACACAACCAATAAATATGGCCATATTATCCTGGCAATTGCAAATTCTACAAATACCTTATAGTTTATACTATAGACCATAACCAAGATAAGTGCCCCAAGAATCAGAGTGAAGGTATTTTGTACTCCTGTAACTATGCTGAAACAACAAGCTCTTTCTGATAATCACACAACTATTCTTCATACCCTTCGAAATTCATACAAAAGGATTTGAGAACGCGGATTGCCAGATGCTATTGCCACATATAACATTTTCACCGCCACAGATCAACCTATATTTCTCCAAAGAAGTTATTTTTCCCTGCACCCTCTTCCCTGGTGTGCTAATGCACCAACCCTCCTTACCTCCTCACCCTGTTCTTATTTACAACAGAAAGAAAAATCCAGAGCAATCGTCTAATATCTCGATAGTTTTTTTCCTTGTCTTTCCTCCCCAATTATTTAACTGTTAAACAAAGTAATTAAATAATCCCACGCAAATGAATCCAATTTCCAGCTGAACTTAAAAGATTTTGAGCCAAACAAAACCAAACCAAGGCAAAAATGTGAATCAATCAGCCAAAATTGCGAACACATTATATAACCAAATTGAAGCAAAAAGATAAGCAATTTACACCTTTCCCAATCCAATTAAACTTTTGTAATCAAATAATAAATAAGCATGACCAGATGCTCAGAGATAAGGAAGAAAAACTCTAACCTTGAGTTTCTGGGGAGAAATTTGGGCAATGCTGAGCTTGCAAACCCTAATTATACAGATTAGCAAATAGGAATCAGAAATTAGGGTTTTGCAGTCTGAATATTTTGGGGAGGGAGAGCCTGGTCCTTGAACTTGTGTTGCTTTTGGTAAATTATGCTTTTCTATTTTCCATATATATTTTGATTTCGGTAAATTATGCTTTCTATTTTCCATGGTTTGAAATAGTCAATTTTAACGAAAAACTTCCGGTACTGTTTATTATAACGAAAAATCACATTTTTACATTAAAAAGTTAATCCTAATATTATTCATTTTACTATTTATTTTGTACTTATCGTTAAACTAAAAAATTTTAAACTTTTTCATTAGTTTTCTTTTGAAAATTTTTATTTTGGAAGAAATCATTTGATTAAAATTAAGGAAAATGGCACAAATAATATCACCAGATTGTTTTTTTTTTTTTTTTTTTTTCTTCTTATGAGGAAATGCCACTAAAAAGAAGTATGTACCAAAACGCATTTGCGTTATGTGTTGCGTGCGTGTATTAACTCTTTTTCATGTGTATATTCATAATTTTAAGATGCTTAGACAAATGGGATAAATAATTTCGTTAACTATATAAGTTGTCTTCGAGGGAACCGAAGGTAAATGTCCATGAGCTTTAGTCAAAATAATTTTTACCCAAGTCTTGTAAAGATCTTGAAGTGGTGACAATACTCTTAAAAGCAACTCAAAACACTACATATAATACATTTTGACTGACTATTTAACGATTGACGTAAGTGGTATGTTCATACTAAAGTATGAGTATGATGAGTTGATATCATATAACCGATCCAGTTTAATAATTGAATGACACTTAGAACCAAAGCAATTCAATCCAATTTGACCTTTTTTATTTGGTCCTGTCCAACTCATTGGTTTAAATGATTAAACAGAGTAACTTACATTACATGAGTATACTATCAGCGTAACGTTTTGTGCCAATAATACAAATGTCATATGGACAAATTTAAACATCTCTTTATCTCGTACCTATAATACAAATATCATACAGACCAAAACCTAATCATTACAGTATTCCCATGTTATAAAAGTAATATAATTCAAACAACCATAGTCTTTTCTTCCTTTTTCATTTTTGTTTTATGTCAATGTTTCTAACACAACCAAGTCATACAACTCAAAAGTACAAGTCAAAACCATATACTAGGAACCAAACTGGAGACAGACCAAACACAGAGTAGTGAGAATGAGGGCAAGCTAAAGAAGAAGCAAATGTGTGAAAGGAGAAGCAAGCTTTTAGTTTTTGGCAGATTGTATGCGGAAACTGGCAGAGTGTATCCATGGTATGATTGTGAAATGTGGTCTGACTGAAAATGTCACAATTGCAACCGGACTGCTGGATTTGTATGCAAAGTTGGGGAGACTAACTTACTCAGCTTAAGATTTTCGAGGAGGTAAATAATCCGGACAAAGTAGCTTGGAATGCGATGCTTGCAGCCTATGCTATGCATGGGTATGGGAGTGAAGCAATGAAGCTCTTTGAAAGCATGCTTAAAGAAGGTGGGGAGCCTGATCATGTCACCTTCACACATTTGCCAAGTGCTTGTAGTCACTCGGGGCTTGTCGAGGAGGGGAAGAATGACTTCAACATTATGCCTCAAGTTTATGGAATTGAGCCTAGGTTGGATCACTATTCATGCATGGTTGGTCTTCTGGGACGCTCTGGGCTTCTAAATGATGCTGACGAGCTGATTAGACGTATGCCAATGGAGCCAAATTCTGGGTATGGGGGCCTTTCTTTTCGGTGCTTGTAGGGTTTACGGTAATGCTAAACATGGGAAGGAAGTTGAGGAGAGATTATTTTCTTTGGACCTGTTGACTTGTATTAGGATTCCTGTAATTATGGGATTCCTACTATATTAAGTTTCCTAGTTTAGGATGTAATTATTCTTCCCTTATTCTTTCCCATATTTGTATAGGGTTGTATATATACCTGTTTTAAGATGAAATACAATTATTATTGAAAAGCATTATTTCTTCTTGGTATCAAGAGCCAGATTAGAAAGAAACACCGAACCCTATTTTTTTTTTTCCTGCCGTATACCTGATCCATTGCAGCGAGCAACCCTAGGGTTGTTGCTGCCCATTCCCTGACCCATTGCAGCGAGCCCCAGATTGGTGGTTACTGCCCTGTTGCTTCGTCCCACGTGTTCTAGATCTCTTCCCTGCTGCTGTTTGTTTTTCTGCCGAGTCTTGTGTCAGTCAACACCGGAGCGGACAGATGGCTGAAGAAAAGGGGGCTGGGTCTCAGATTGTTTCAGTGGCTGCTCCAATTATGGTGCAGTCAGAGAATTCAAGCTTTAATATTGGTATGGTTTTGGATGAAAGGAACTATGATTTATGGGCTCCTCTCATTCAAATTCATATTGCTGGAAGGAAGAAGATGGGATATCTTCGTGGGTCTATCAAGGCACCTAGCGAAGACGATCCTAAATATGATGATTGGTTTTCTGAAGATCAAAAAATTAAAAGTTGGCTTTTGTCTTCAATGAAGCCTGAAATTATGAAACGGTACATTCGGTTGTCTACATCGAAGGAGATTTGGGACTCCTTGAAGGCAGCCTACTTTGATGAGAATGACGAGGCTAGAATTTATTTGTTGAATCAGAAGGCATCCCGTCTTCGTCAGCATGGCCGGTCCTTAGCTACCTATTTTGGGGTGCTCACTGAGATATTCCAAGAATTGGATCACTTTAATAAAGTATCCATGGAGTGTGAGAATGACATCAAAGTGTTTCAGAAATCCACTGAGAGACAACGGGTCTATGTGTTTCTTGGTGGTCTCGATGATGTTTTTGATCAGGTGCGTGGAGAAGTGCTGCGGAAGGATCCCCCACTTGGCCTGCAGGCCTCTTATGCATATGTTCGTCGAGAAGCCGATCGAAAGGAAGCAATGAAGCCAGAGGTTGAAAAGGGGGAGCCCGCTGCCATGGCAGCAAGGGCCCGTGGCTCATCTCTTGGGTCGACCCGCGAAGGGGTACAACACTGGCCTGGATCATCTCGGCCTAGCCAGACAAGCCGGGATCGTCCACAAGGTAAGTGCCCACACTGTGGCCTGACGGGACACTCCAAGAGTCGTTGTTTTGAGCTGATTGGATATCCCGAGAATTGGGATAAGACCCGTGATCCTCGGTGCAACCAATCTCGCGCCTCCATTACCGAGACTAAGAATGATTCGGATCAGATAGCGGACAAGGCCTCTGCCATGATAGCTGCGGCAGGAAGTGATGGTAAGGCCCTAAGTACTTCTACTTCTGTTATGAATAATACATGGATAATTGATTCCGGAGCTACTGAACATATGACTTGTGATTCTAGACAGGTTCCATCACTAAACACATCCCCACACACCGAGGTCAATGTTGCTAATGGTAATGCCGTCCCTGTTATTGGGGAGGGCACTGTTTCCCTTTCCGATACCATGAAACTGGATACTGTTCTTGTGGTTCCCTCTCTAAATTATAATTTGTTGTCCGTTGCTCAAATAACCCTTGCCTTACATTGTTTGGTTATTTTTTGGCCCTATTTTTGTGTTTTTAAGGACATCCGGACGCGGAAGACGATTGGTTATGGTATTAGAAGAGGGACACTTTACTACTTGGAGTTGACCACCAGTAGTTCTAGCTTGCTGACTCAAGCTCTTTCCGTTGCTGATCCTCGAGGAGTTACTAATAAAGTGTCAGACATCTGGATGTGGCACCGGTGCCTTGGGCATGCTTCCTTTGGTTATCTACAGAAGTTATTTCCTAGTTTATTTGTCAAGAATGATGTTTCTCAGTTTAAGTGTGATGTTTGTGAACTGGCTAAGAGCCATCGAACCTCTTTTCCCCCCAGTTTAAATAAAAGTACCGTTCCTTTTATGATTGTGCATTCTGATGTATGGGGACCGTCAAAAGTAGCTACTCTTGGTGGTGCTCACTGGTTTGTTACTTTTATTGATGATTGTACCCGAATGACTTGGGTTATTCTGTTAAAGTCGAAGAGTGAAGTTAGTTTGGCCTTTCAACGGTTCCACAAAATGGTTGTTGTACAATACAACAGGCATATCCAGGTTCTTCGCAGTGACAATGGGGGAGAATATGTTAATATGGAACTTCATTCATTCTTAGAG